AAAAAAAAAAAATATCTGGAAGCGAGGAGACAGAACGAGATATCGATAGATAAATGTCGGAGGGGGGAAAAAACAGAGGACAATACGGCACATGCAGATTTTTCGATAAAGATTAAAACACGAGACGGATTTTTCTTGTTTTTGTTTCACATACGTTTTCAGAGCCTCGGGCCATCTGAAAATAATACTTGCTAAAGAACAACAGTATCTACTTTTATATTCAACCGCGAGATGCGTGATCGAGATGCATACTAAATGTTTAGTATTACACACATGTATATATGTATGTATCATTATCAAATTTTTAAAAATAAAAAAAAATTCTTCGTTCGTGAAAAGAGAATTTTAATTTCTGATTTCTTTTTTTTTTTTCTTTTTTCTTGGGGTAGTATAATATTTTTAAATGATTGGAGGATCGTTCCCTTTTAAACGATTCACTTTATGTACTTTCAATGTTAATTAAATTTATTACCTTTTAATTGTACGAAGATAATTTTTATTTGGAATTAACTGAACTCACTGATTTATTAACGCCTTGTGAAACATAATAAAGTCCTGGCTTTCAGAATTATTTGGTTTAAATACCGTGAAGAAATTTCTATTGGTACAACATAGATTTCATCTACAGTAGTTTGTTATCCAATATCTTCTCGAATATTCAGGAAGATGGAACACAGCGTGGAAGAACTTTAATTAAGGAAACGTTTTTCTTCTTTTAAAACGTGGATCGTCAATTTTAATCGAACTTGTAATACGTGTAATAATAATAAATGAAAACTTTCTTCCTACTTAATTCCGAGGTGCATGAGACAATAACTTGTGTAATAACTTTCTTCTATAGGCAATGATTGATTTGTATCAACAATTGTTGAATTTATATTATAACACAATGACCAATAATTTTCAATTTTCTATTCTTAACGTAGATAAAGATAATTTTATTATTCCCAAAATTTTTATATTTTTAGTACGTAATTTTTCAGAATACCCTGCGACCAAACAATTGAAACAAATAACTTGTTGATAAACTTTAATTCTCAATCTCTGTGAACTTGCTAATGCTCTCAATAACGAACGATCCTCCAACCATTCTTAACTCTACTTGCAGATGAGAGGCGTTCGAGAGTGCTCTATTCTCTCCATCAACAACAAATCATCGTTGCTCGATAATGTAAAAAAAAAAAAAAAAAAACACTTTTTGAAAGCGAGCACGATAACAATCGCTGTGATTTACAAATGATACGCTAAATCGCGCTAATATGTGACGAGATGGACGAGAAATGACGTAACGTGAGTTCATAGACTGTAACTTTAATTGACGAAACGCGACTACTTCGTTTTACCTGGTCAGGGGAAAGCGAACTGTCCGCCGATGCGTTCCTTTCCATGTTCGCCGCGGTCCGCTCGGTCTTGCAACTGTTGTGGTATTCGGACTTTGCTTTTTCAACCTTTTGCAGAAGCTTCGCCCATGGTTTCTGCGCTTTCTTGAACGCGTCCTCCATCTCCTTTCGTTCCTTCAGCGTCATCATCGACTGCAAATGTATCAGCGATCACGTTCACATTAAACGTGCACATTTACTGATTTCAGAATTGTTTCAATCTGATCTGACGATATATCGGAATGATGTATCCTCTTAGTTTTAGGCTAACAGACACTAATGGCTACATTTTGATTTCCTTTCAATTTGTAAGATCGGAGTGTTAAGTGACTGTTTAATACACATATTACCTGAATATATCCCAAATAATTCACCTTAGTCAGGCTATATATATATATATATATATTCAAGTAATAATATTACTGATTATATTATTGATACATTCAAGAATATTATGATATATTATTGA